CCTAGATTCAATCTGGGCCGTTGGGCTCATATGTTCATATAAGCTAGTGGGCTAATCCCAGCTTTTTCCTATATATATAGATATTCCTTGGGCACGTAGATAACCACATAGATAACCATGGGTTTAATGAAGACTGAAGAAAGCTATAAAAGAATGAATTACAACAAAGTGAGGACTAGAAGTAAATGGCAATGCAACTCCCATGTCTCAAAAAGAATATGAAACTACTATTAATCACATGAGACAAATTGTACGCACACCTCGCACTTTGTGCAACCAACCCAACAAGAACTGCTGGCCAGGCTAAGCCTCGAATCTACAAAACAAAAACATCGATATAGAAAGTTATATTTCTGAAAATTACAAAGCAAAAATGAAGAAGTCAATGAGAGTCGATGAATAATTTTATATAAATCAATGAATAAAAAAGAAATGAGCACCTTAGGCTACAACTACCAAATAATACATGTTCTTTTTAATGTACTTGTATTATTGAAATGAGAAGTTTGAAGTGCATGAATGTATAGTAGTGATGAGTTATTTACAGAAGCACATAGACCTAGCTATACATCCCTTTCCCATTGTATCCACCCTAACGGGTGTACCAACCAGTGAGGGCCCTGGTTCAATCAGACCGGTCGGACTGGATGAGCTCACAGGTCAAACCGACAAAATAATTAAAAAATAAAAAATAAAAATGCAAAAAAGGAGAAAATATAAAAAAAAGAAAACATATGAGAAATAGAAAAAATTAAGAAAAACAACAGGAACCAAAAAACTATAACATAGTGGAGAAATAAAATACTATCAAACTCCAAACTCCACAAGTCCTTATCTCCAAACTTCCATATCTGATGTAGGTAACTTGATGGAAATAGTAGAAAACAAGCCAAACACAAGCATCTATTCGAATTTCGAACAAACCTAGAGTTCTTCTCCAGACCAGAACTGAGGTTCAAAAGCCTAGAGCTTTTTCTACTCTTTCTGAAAAAATAAGTCGTGTGAACAAGCCTCCAGCCCCCCCACACACCACTTTTATATCCCTTTTAATGTTCAAAAGATAATAATTGTCGATGCAAATAATAAGTTGACCCACACATCCTAAATTAAGTGACTTTCAAAATAAATGACAGTAAAAATGACCTAAAATAACTAGAAATTCATCCCAAACCATTCTTGCTCTTCTTGCTCTTTTTGGTAGCCTTCCTATGTTTCACATCCTCCAAATATACATGAGAAAATAAACTAGGAGGAATCTGCTGCTCCCATGAAAGATACCCATCACTTTGTCCACTTGATGCACTTAGAGCACCATCATTCTCCCCAGGTCAAGGAGAATTAGCATTCGATTTAGAACCTTCAACTTCATTTATCTCTGGTCCATGATACTCAGACAAATCAGCAATATTGAAGATATTCGAAGTCTCCATATACAAAGATAATTGCTGCCCATCTTCTTCAAAATCTTGAATGATCGTGCCTTGTGATTATTCAACTTGTTATATTTACTTGCTGGATATCTCTCCTTCCCAAGTTACATCATCGCCCGATCTCACACATTAACAAGACATGAGATCAAGGTGTGCCATGTTATTACATTCTCCATAGACAACCACATTTTAGCCTTCTGGAAACCACCATACTTGTAGTATATGAGGATAACATACTTAGTCTTGAACACATTGGAACACACTCTACTATGAACTTTGTAGCGGCTCAAGATTAATGCTACGTACTCTAGTGATTTCCTTCAGCTCGCACATAGTGATTATATATAGCGGTTCTCTACTCCTTTAGTTCAATTGATGTCTTATATAACCAATAAAATAAAATAAAAAGAATGAAAACCCTAAACCATTATAAAATAAAAAATAAAAATCCAACTTTATAAACAAAATCATTCCCCAAAGCAAACAACTAAGACAAAATCAACAAGAATACACTAAATAGATAAAAAATAACCATTCCTATGATAGAAGATACAATCAAATTTATTTCTTTTGCAAAAGAAAGGATTAAATTCCTTTCTCTTTTATTATTATTTTTTTTTTTTAACAAAAAAAAAGAGGGATAAAGAGTTACTTGGGGTTTGATTTAGTGTGGAACGATGGCCTAAATCACACCAGAAATTTGCTAGATTATTGCACAAAGCAATAGGATTTCATGTAGAGAGAGAGAGAGAGAGAGAGCAAAACTTGCCAAAGTCATTCTCTCCCTAAAAAGATCTTTTAACACCCCAAAGACATGTTGATGACCAGAATGTGCAATAATGTTTTTAAAAGAACCAAAAAAACCAAAAAGAATTGCGTATTTTTTAAAAACAATGGGCTTTTTAGGATTTTCCATCCATCAGGACCCAATCAGTTTCATCCCTAGACCAGCCGATGTTTGACCGGTCATCCATGGTCAAATTGGTCAACCCTGTCTGGTTCTAAAAAGCTTGATTTTATCCAAGTTTGCTATATTAAATTGTGATATTCATAAAGAATTGTACAAAATCCTCTAAGCCAATTTTCCTTATCATAATCCTTCCCATTATTTCTCTAACCTTAAAATTGTTCACTTTTCACTTTCTACTTTATTATATCTTTTACTAAGAAAGACAGGGTTTACTTTTCCCTATTCCCGCGAGCTTCCCTTTGATTTACTGGCCAACGTTAAATATAAAATGCAATATCATTTTTATTCTTAACTCACCAACTTATGAGTAAATCTTCTTCTCCTTTTCGCACGCACAATAATAATACCAACTTCAGAAAGGCATAAAAGTAAGATGACCAAACTACCACTCTGCTGAAATGCTCATACGACTCAATATCACCTATTAGGCCATCCTCAAACAGACTCCTTAGTGTTCATGTACTCAATTTATTCAAGAATCCAATCTTGATGTCCTCTAGCAATACAAAAGGTCAATAATAATAAAAGCAGTATAAACAAATAAGCAAATATGGAGCTGAAGCAAAAGTCATACCTCAAAAGAACAGATTGAGATAAGAAGAATAATGTGAGAATTTCAACAAAAGTACACAAAGAAGGGTGTGGTTTGTGTAAGGCTGAGGCCCCAAACAATCAAAGTAAGGCGCACCTTTAAATAGTTTTGAAAGATGTTGTTTTGGTACTAGAAATTTTTGTGATGGCCTGAAAATTTATTTTCAGATCTCATCATCATCATCATAGAATTAGAGCTGGGCAGGCGAAGTGGACATGTGCAACCAAAGTTTTATGCCATCGCCGCATACCAATAAAGTTGAAGGGGAAGTTCTATAGGGCAGCTGTAAGATCGGCTTTACTTTATAGGGCAGAATGTTGGGCAATCAAGAAACAACATACCCATAGGATTAGTGTGGTTGAGATCGATGAGTGGCAAGACAAGAAAGGATAGAATTCGAAATGAATACAATCGGGAGAACTTAGGTGTGGCTCCAATAGGCGATAAGATGAGGAAAAGTAGACTTAGATGGGCTGGCCATGTGCAGTGCAGACCAAGTTTAGCACCTAGTAGGAAGTGTGAATTGGTTCAAGTAGAAGGTTCAAAAAGGGCAAAGGATAGGCCCAAAAGGACATGGTTGGAAGTAGTGAGAAAATATATGGTGACTTATGGCCCTCACTAAGGGTATGGCCTTGATATAACATAATGGTGGATTAGAATTCGTATAGCCAACCCCAAATAATTGGGAAAAAGCTCCGATGATGATGATGAAGATGACCTCGAATATTTAGGATGGGATATTGGTCAATCAAATAGGTCTCTAATATTTGAACGTGAAGATTTTCTAAGATTACCCAATGTCCTAAAATTTCAGGATATCCAGCAATCAAACAGGCCCTCAATTTATACAGTCACTATAAGATGTCAACCAATTACCTAAAAGTAATTACTTTAAAACATAGTTTGGACACTCAATGAATTTCATTCATAAATATTGAAAATAAGGGCAAGAAAGGTCACCTTTTCTTTACATAGAAATTCATATGGTTCAAAAACATTTGACCATAGTCCAGCATCTCAAATCACAAAAACATAAATATAAAAGTTTAAAATGAGGTATAACATGAAAATATCCTCTACATAATGATTGATACATTGACCAGCATCTGAGACTATAAGAATTTTGTGGCAGAAGTCAATAAATTCATGATATTGCATTTGTAGCCATGAGATCACTGCCATGACACAAACCAAGGGCAACAATAGGTTTAGCATAAGAACCTGAACATAAGTGTTAGCAGCTGGCACTATGTGTATATTTTTTGGCCCAGTAAAAGCTGTAGCATTGAAATAAACAAAAAGTTAACTGGAGTCTAGTTCATGGACAATAAATTATGCAGCATGTAAAAGAAAATGAGAGTGTATGTAAGTATTATAAATGACGCATTTAAAATAATCAGTAACTTTAAAAGATGGCAACCACATACAATATTTACTTCCTGATTTTATCAACACAATCAGCATGTATCTAATCATCTGAAGTAGCAAGCCAAACTATTATACACAATCTACAAACTGCCCTTTTTCTTTGGTGATTCATATACATCCTAAGATGCTAATTCTCTCCATGTATGCTCATCTGAAGAGAATCTCAATCACATAAATACCGCTCACTAATAAATGACACTGGTATGGTAACCGAGATATTGAGTTTCTGTTAATTATTCCACTGAAACAAAGATATTTCCCTAAAAGATGTTGGATGTAAAAATTGGATTATCATTCTACAAATGAGAGAGAGAGGAGAAGATAAAGACAAGTAAGGGAGGACCAAGTGTTGGCCGCATGATAAATGTGCGCTACAATTGAACTAAAAAGTAATATTTTATAGACATCTTTCTTAATTTCCATGTATCATGCCCAAAATCTTACATGTGGAACCTTCTTTATCTCATAAAATACATAGAAGAGAAAAGAAAACAAGAACCCAGGATAATTTTGCTGCCACATTCGAAACTTGCCATGAATGCGTGTCGAAAGAAGGCCATCACTCAAGAGCCACTCCAATAATAGAGAAGGCTGCCCTCAGCATTCATCCCAATTGTTTTAGCAGGGAGAAGGGCTTGTTAAAAGTCAGTAGGTAAGGATAGGTATGATTGTACTAATTAAGTTAAGATGGTTTGAATTCAATATATCGTCTAGTCCTAAGCGGAGGCGTTCAAGCTCTCGACAAAGAGGTAAAGCAACCAGAATGCCCTTAAGCGCTAGAAGATTTTGGTTTTGGATTTCCGTCTTGATCAATAACAACTGCTGCATTGTCATCAAAAACTAAAAATAAAAACAAAAATAAAGATAAGAGAATATACCCTTTCTTAGGATCTGCAGGGGTGTCCAACCCAAAAGATTTTTTCTGCAAGACCTAAAATCAATTCTTCTTTTCTTTTTTACATATTTATAAAAGAAAGTGCTAAAACCTAGCTTGTTTCTTAAGAAACCATTACCCCAGTTAAACCATAGCCTCTCATCTATTTAAAATTAAACTCTACCTCAATTCTTTACAACTAAAATAATAGATACCTTAATACAAATAAATAAAAGACCGTGTAACATAAACCCATTTAGGTATCTAAAGAAGTAGTAAAATAAAAACCCCAATTGTGTTATTCTCCGAGGGTCAGGAGAAACTTGACCTCGAACCCATTGAATTCATCATATCCTTTAGAGACCTTTCACATAATTGGTGATGAAGTCTCACCTTCTACCTAGGAACCTTTTCCACTTCAATAAGCCAAACTGTCAAACACTCAATGTGTAGCTTGTAATGGAATTCTAGGATACCAAACATAATCTTGATTTCCCAAAGGGTTGTATTTGACATGCTTCAACAAGTGAATCTTCTTCTACATAATCAATCATCAAAATTTGTAGTGCCCCTAGGTGGTTGTCAGCATCTTTCCAATTGAGATTTACTTATTCACATTATCCAATATATTTAAATTTCTTCTCCATGAAATCTCAAAGGTTGAGATATGGTACCAAATCTACTAGATAATGGACACCTTCTTCTCGATGACCATTAATTTGTAATCTTCACACTATTGATTTATTTTGCCAATCTCTCCTCAGAGATTGTAAATTTTGACTTGCATATCTTCAATGGCTTGATTTAAACCCTCTTTAATTTGTTGATTCACAACTTCCATGATTTATGACAATATATCCTTCATTCACAACCTCCATGATTTGGTGCCATTTTGAAGGATGGATCTTCTGAATATCTAATACCAAGTGATGTTGAAAAAAATGAGAAAGAATATACAAATAAATCAGAAAAATGAAAAAGAAAATAAAGAACGAGAAAATATGCCCTCTCTTAGGGTCTATAGGGAGTCCACTCCAAAGATTGAGAGATTTGACCCTCTCTCTAGGTTAACAAGGGAGTCCACCCCCAAAGATATTTTCACAATACCTCAAATCAATTCTTCTTCTCTTTTTTCATTTCCAACCCACAAGATATTTCAACTGACGTCTTCTCACGGAGCATCTAAGATGGAAATTGGAGTGTATGGGTCAGTATTCTAAGATTTAAAATCGTCATAAACATGGCAACATTCCACACACTGCTTCACATCATGCCTCAACACAGGCCAAGAGTACCTCTCCTCTACCAACACAAGTCTTAGCCAACCAAAATGTCCAGTATGAACCCCCACTATGCAGCTCAAGATTGATGTTCTCGTGAAGAGAACTCTCTAGTATGCCCACTCAAGTCCAACAGAACAGAAATCCATCATGGAGAATAAACCTGGAAGTAGGATAAGGTCGACAAGACTCCCACAAAGGACCAAAGTACAAATCTATACTAGTCCTTAAGGGACTTAACCCACCACTACATGCAATTTTTTGATGAACAACAACTGATGACACAAGACATCTACCCCTTTATTGTGAACTTCAGATTTGAGCTTCAGGGTAAATGTGTATTCTTGTAAAAATGTGATCCATTTGGCATATCAGCCATTTATTATATGCTAAGAATTAAGATATCTCGATGCCTCGTGGTCTGAATACAACACAAACTCCCTCTAAATCAAATAATGCCTTCAGTGTAGAAGAGCTTGAACAATAACATAAAATTTGCATCTTACATTGAGCAACAGGAACAAGCATTGTTCAATTTTTCACTAAAGAATGCCACAGGACGCCCCTCCTAGCTCAACACAGCTCCTATCCCAACAAGGGACATATCAAAACCCACCTCAAAGTCCTCAAAATCGGTAAGCGCTAAAACCGATGCATTTGTCATCCTCGCCTTTACACATTGGAAGCTCTCTTTTGCCTCTGGAATCCATTAGAATACATCTTTCTTCATGCAACTAGCAATTTTCAGAAATTCAGCAGCTGTCGGGAAGCCAAAGTGCCTAGGCAAGCCACCTATGCGTCGTGCATCTAGACACCCACCTAGGCGCTTACCCAAAGGCGGGTGCCTAGGTGATGTCCCAAGACAGGAAGGCCGAGAGGGAAAAAATGCCCTCAGTTGTGGGCATTTTTGGTATTTTCCTTCAAAATAAGGAAGGAGGGAGGGGGGGGGGGGGGGGGGACAGCGGACATTCTAGTCCCCCCATGTGCATCCTAGAGAGAGGAAGACTATCAAAAAATTTGGGATTTGAGTTTTTTTGCAAGATCTAAAAATTTTCAACTTTTTCGATTTCGTGCGAAAACAAAAGAAATACTTCGAGATAGTTTCTAGAGCTTGGAGTGGTCACATATGAGGACTTTTGACGACCAAAGGTCAGCGGTTTGGGCCTATATTGGTTTCATTTTAAAAAGTAACGTGCATTACAATATTTGAATTGGGATTTAGTATTTTTTGGTATAGTGTTTTATGATTTGAATCATTTGATATTCTTTTACATTTTTCTTTCCTTCTATGATATTTTTACATGGTTTTAGTTGAATACTTTTACCGGTTTGGGCTTATGTTTTGTGAATAATTTTAAACTTTGAAGTAAATTGATATTTTCTGAATATATAGATTGCAAAACCAAATCTCATGGATATTAAATTTTCTTATTTTTTTTAGATTGACATCATATTATATGATTTTTGTTAGATTGGATAACCAAATATTATGTGATTTTTTGTCATTTTGTTTCCACATATTATGAAGTTTCATCTTTTGATTGGTTTCTAGTTGCTACATAGTTTAGGGGTCTTTTCTAGTTTGTTTTGTTTACTTAAGTCATCATTTAAAACTTGAATTCTTTTCAAGATTTTTTTCTTAATAATTTCAAGTAGGGTATTTTTCAGGTTTGTTGCTTAGATGATACTCTGAGATTTATTGTGACTATCTGAGTTGCATTGTAGGTCGTGTGTCGTGATAGTGTCTTCAACTGGATCAAGTAATCGGGGTTGGGAGTGTGGATCTTGTTCAAATCCCATTGATAAGAATAGGGCGGAGTGTAAGTTTTGCAAGAAATCATATAATACCAATATTAATAGATTAAAGAACCATTTAGGCATTAGAGGGGATGTGGCCCCATACACTCAAGTGCCAGCTGAGGTTAAAACACAGATGTTAGAGCACTTGGAGGAGGTTAAAAACAAGAAAGAGGAGATGAGGAAACGAACATGAAGAAATTGTCAAAAGTATAGATATTTTTGGAGTTCGGAAAGGCAAAGAGGACATATATACTGAGGTTGGATCTTCTAGTAGGCCAATAGGGTCAATGCATAAGAGGCCTCGAAGAAGAGGGCCCATGGATCCTTACTTCTCCTCCCCCCCCAATTCTGAGATTTTGCCATGCGAAGGGGTCAAACAAGTTTAGAGAGCCACTTGCAAAAGAGGATATAGATAAGGTAGCACAATATGTGGCCAAATGGTTACCAAGCAAGCACTTCTTTTAATGTTGCTAACTTGAAAAGTTTTCAAACTATGTTGGAAGGAGTGGGTCAATTTGGCCCAAATTTTAGCGCTCCAACTGCTTATGAGCTTAAAGAACCATTGTCTAGAAAAGAAGTTGAGCTTACCAACAGCTATTTGAAGACCCACGGAGACACATAGGGGATATATGGTTGGACTGCTGATGGTTGGAGTGATAAGAGAATTAGAAGCATTATGGATTTGAATTGTCCATTAAGGACAATGTTTTTAAGGTATATTGATGCTTGTGACAAGCCCCATGATGCAGCCTTCATTTGTGAGTTGGTAAACCAGTGCATAGAGAAGGTCGGGGACGATGAAGTGATCCAAGTAATGACCTATTTGCACTCAGCCAATATGGCGGACGCTATGTTATAGATGGCAAAGAGGCTGTGTATTTTTTGTTCGCCTTGC